AGCTTCCTTCACCTGCAGCCCAAATGCAAGAGGAGATGTCAACACGTAAACAATACAAAGCAAATCCTTCCCCCTCAACTGTTTTTGGTATTACCAATTCACCACCCTCTACAGGAACTACTGCTACCAAAAACACACCTCAACAGTAGTAACAGCTAGTACCCATGTCTCAGCAGCAGAGATACCTGCAGAAGAGAAAAGGAGGTACAGGGCACAGTCTATGTCACCACAGTTAAGTCAGCCATGAAGTATACAGGTATTAATGGAGTGGCCCAACTTCACTTTCCATAGGAACAGCTATTAACCACTTCCAGATAGGGTTGCACTTCAGTGACTGATGAAGAGAGGCATGCATATATGCTTCAGTTCAGAGTATCATTTAGGAAGCCTGTTTCTTAAAAGTACCAAGTATAGAAAACACAGACCAAAAAGCCAAGTCATATGTACACAGTGGAATTTAAGTTTATTTAGAAAGTAAACCTTTGGGCACATTGCAATTTAAAAAAAGGAAAAATACAAATAATCTATTGGATTAAGCGGCTAAAAGCCAGCAATATTACAAGCTGTTTACATACCAACATTTACATTAATTTAAGACAAGTGGCATGTCACCAACATTTAAAATATACTTCAAAATGTAAAAAAAAAAAAAAAAAAAAATCAAGTTGACTTGAAAGACACAAGTTTACCACATGTCTGAACATGGGTTTGGTCATTCAGTTTAAATCCCCTCTTTTGCTGAAATGTTCAGTCTTCAAATTATACAAGTGGATAGCTAGCAGCTGTTGCTATTCCACAGTGGTTCTTCCTGTCCTTGGCCATGTAGATATATCCTTTGTCACCCCACTTCTCACCCCAGCTGCAAACAGAAGTAAAGGATTTGATTTCATATTCAAAGTAGTTATTTACCACTCTCCCCCATAGGTTTAAACTGAAAACTGCTGCTTTCCACATTTGTAGAGAAAAATCAAGATAGCTGCAGCCAAAAACTAAAGTGTTTTCCAGTAATTAAAAGCATGTTACAGAAGAGGCACCACAAGCTCACAGAAATGAAAGGTGCAGCCATCCTCTCACTAGGATATGCACTGATATGCAAACTCTGATTACAGGTGCCTGAGCCTGAGACACTGCTCCCAGCCAACTTTAAGGGAAATCAGAGACTGCAAGGAGCATTCGAGGGTGGTGCCCCAGTAATGCTGAGAACATGAGACAAGCTCATGTGATGTGCCCTTCGGCATTAACTTCTTGTTTTCCCTCCAACCTAGGAGGTAAGTCCATCTTTAAAGTTCAAGTGTTATCCTATTTCACACAAGTGAGCAGCACCCTGCTTCCATAAAAATCCATTACACTCCCCACAACTTGGTTTCCTCCTGCTCTCCTCTGCTCTACTCCCTTTAACATCTACTAGCTTCACAGGCTGTTCCAGTACTGAGCTCCCTAAAGCAGAGGAATGAGTTTGCTACTTCAGGCCTAGTTTATTAGACTGCCAGCAGCACGAGTTTGATTTAACCTTGGTATTGTATGACAAGCTGAAAACAATCTGAAAACAGTCTCCAGATTTACCACACAGATTTTAATTAATTGTTGTCTCCCTACCTCCCCCCTAACAAGTAACAAACTACCTTCCCTTCTCCACTGGGTACATGACACAGACAGATCTTACCTGTTCTTAACAATCCAGTATTTCTTTCCATCTACATCTTCCCCCTCAAAGCCATAACCTACAACCAGAACACCATGGTCCAGGTCTTCACTGCTGCAGTCTGGTTCATAGTAGATACCTGCAAAGGCATAAGTGCATAAGTTCACATGTGAACAAGCTCATATTCATAAACCCCTTCTCCCACACCAGAAGCTTTGTGTATTTCAAATTAATGTTGCACAGCCTCTTGTAAGTTAGAGGAAGGAATCATAAGTGAAGTGCACCATGGCAGAAACTAAAGGACAACTACACACATATGCAGGAGAAGTTCCAAGTGTCGAGAACCTGGTCTAGAATTAAAATGACTTCTGATTATGTCCTGTGTCACAAGATCATAGTTAGGCTCTTTCACCTATTAAGCTGTAGGGTAATGAATACCAAGCATCAAAAAAGCAGGCCTCTGAATGCAAGTTATTAAAAAATCCCCACCTGACTGATAGAACTGGAATGAAGAGTGGCCTGCATCAATAGCAACAGACACTGGACCCACAGCTGCAACTGCTTTCATGAGAGCTCTTTCATGCCCTTGAGGTATGTCAACAAAGCCAGTGTCATTAGCAGCATTGTACTCTGCCTTGTAGCGACAGTCTTCATCATCCTAAACAGAGAAAGCTGTAGTTACTACATAGTTCTCCACTCAACACATAGGTGAGCACAGAACTACCAGACATTTTGTGACTTTGCTGCTTTGAAAACAAGGGACTGAAGAGGATCCAATTGCTTCAGCAGTTGCTTTGAAAGAACAAGAGGGGAAACACGGAACCTGCTTCTGAGTTTCTCAAAGTACTGAAAAAGTAAACAACAGTGGCATCCAAAAAAACAAATAGCTTTACTGGGATGCAAATGACATTACATCCTGGAACCCTGCCCTCTTTGGTGGGCAGGACAAACCTTTTCAGGAGGAAAGAAGCCCAGAACGCATTAATGGGCAATGGAAGAGAGCCAAGTATTCATTAAATACAAAGCAATCCAGAAACTGCTCATTAAGCAAGCACTTAAAATCCACAGTTTCAGTCTGTAATGGTTTGAAAAACTGTATAGAATGATTTGGAAGTTAGTAATTTGTGTTATATGACATACAGCATTTGTGTATTTTGTGCTTCTATACATCATCTGTTTTTGCAGTGAAGCCTGAATTGTTGGTGCCACAGGCATTTATCTCAGGAGAGAGGTGAGGCCCAATCTGGAAGTCAGGTCATGTGAAACTGAAATAGATTCAAGCAAGTACATCCCTCCCTTGTGTCATAGATTAGCACTATAAAGTAACACAGTACACCCCAGTTGCTTACTTCTTGTATTTGGCAAGTTAGGCACTTTCTATAACCAATGGGGATCTCCAGAACAGCCAAAATGAGGATAAAGCTGAGATTACAAGCACACAGGTGAACAGGAACTCAAACCCAAAGGCTTCTATGTTGTGAACAAAGAAAAGGGCATTGCTGTTGCGTATTTAAGACAGCACAAAAACAAGCTTCAAGAAAAGATACTCTATAGTGAACTGACATATTAAGTGGTTCTGGGCTCTCAAATGACACCACAATTTACCACTGCTCTTTCGTCCTCTCATATCTGTTTAACATTTGATAGACCATATTTTGAAACTCTAACCATTACCGACATTTATGGACGTTTAGTCCAGAGGTAGAACTTAAGGCATTGTTAACAACTGCTGTTAAAAAACTAAATGACACTGTTCACAAGAATTAGGTGGTCTATAGATGGCACTCCATAGTAAGTCGGTATGGGAAGATGAATTGCACCCCTACCACTAAGTAGCATTGTCGACAAGGGCTGCATTCCTGGTTCGGTGTGGCAACTAAGATAAGCCTGATAGGAGGGCAACAGTGAGGAGGAGGAATAAAAATATTTGCTCCAGTTTTTCCAACTGGTCTGACAAGATTTTGACCTCAAAGACCAGTGCAGTGTGTGAGTCCTACTGAGGTTAAGCAGTTATTCTAGTTCTCTTAGCAAAGATGCGAGAGGGAGAATGGATGCACTGACTAATATAAAGACATTTTCCTTTCTAGGTATGAGTTTCCCAACACACAGTTTTTCCACACAAGACATGACACCTGCAATACAAGTTCAGCTATTAGGCTTACCTTTGCAGTGTATGGGTAGGATTCCTCTGAATCAATGCCCCCATTATCCTGCACATACTGGAAAGCCTGGTCCATCAGACCACCATTGCAGCCTTGATTCCCTTCAGGTCGAGAGCAGTCCACCAGATTCTGTTCACTCAGTGAAACAAGTTTGCCAGTTTTTCTGAAGTGCTGCCCTTCAAGAGCTCCTGTCGTGCTGAAAGCCCAGCAAGAACCACACTGACCCTGAAGTACGCAATGAAATCACAAGTTACAAACCCATACAGATTAGGCAATTACATTTCCTTTACCACTGATCTAAGCAAGAAAAACAAAAGACGAGACAAACTTTGGTTTCACATTCCTAGCATGTGCAAATGAAGATAGTACAGCCTTTTCAGTTCTGAGACACTAGTATGGAACTCTTAAAATCTTCGAGGGGTACAGCAGTTTTACCAGAAGGGTGCTTAATTTCGTAAGCTTGTACTATGCTTCACTGAACAGGTACACAGTGTTTTTCTTTTATAGAAGTGGGAGTAGCATTCAGGAAACTAGACTTGTAATTCTTTAGAAATCCATCCATTGAATAATACCTGGTCTTTAACTGGAGTTACATATCCCTTCTCTCGCCAGTCTACTGATCGTGGCACTTCCAGGAAGCTGGGCTCAAGAAACTGGGACCCTCTGTACTTTCTTCCTGACTTCTTGTGTGTGTAACCATTCATCAGCTGTCTGAACTCCTCAGTTGTCTGAAAAACAATTCCATACATGCAGTCACCATCTATTACACGCTACTATTTAGAACCGTACATTTTTATGCCTCTATACTTACCATATCACCAAACTGATTCATCGCCAGCTTGTAGCTGTGTTTTCCTAGTGTGTGATCCAGGTTATGGAGTTCAATCATTTTCAGGTTCTTCTCCCACACCACCCTCCTCCAGCCTTCCTCTCTCTGACGGGTGAAAAAACAACATACTTCAGGAAGGCAGTCGAAACAAAGTTCGCTCGCGTGACAATGAGCCCTGTCAAGGCTGGTGTACTCAGGCAAATGTACAGTACCCAAAGTCTGTTTAAGAGGTGGCCTTCACGCCGCCCTCGTAACAAAAATCAGGCGTACA